GACCTCCCAGATCCTCTGTTCTTATAATTTTATTCTGTTCTTGACTCTTTCATTTGTCGATTGAATTCAGGGTGATGCTGCCACATAATTCATTCTGTAGTTGTTGTCTGTTCTTGTTGGTTCTCAGTCCACAGAACTTCCTTTAGGATGATTTTCATAGTAGAGTTGGCTTTGGCAAAATCCCTTAGCTTCTGTTTACCCTGGAATGTTTTAATTACACTGTTGTATTTGATTGACAGCTTTGCTGAGTAGAGGATTCTTGGTCGGCAGTTTTTTTCTTTCAGGGTTTTATATATGTCTCCGCTTTGCCTTCTTGCCTGCATGGTTTCTGTTGAGAAATCCGAGCTTCATCTGATTTGCTTGCCTTAGTATGTTACACTTCTCTTTTTCCTAGCTGCTTTCAGGATTCTGTGCTTATCTTTGATTTTGGAGAGCTTGATTATTGTATGTCTTGGTGATTTTCTTTTAGGGTCTATCCTTCCTTCCTGGGGTTCATTGAGCTTCCTGAATGCTCATCTTTCCACTTTTCAAGATGTTAGGGAAATTTTCTTCCAGCAGTTCTTCAACTATCTCCTCTGTGGACTTGTGTGAGTCTTCTTGTTCTGGAATGACAATAATTCTTAAGTTATTCTTCTTCATGTTGTCCATCATGAATCTTAGGCCTTCTTCTGATTTTTTATCCTTTTCTGTGCTTGTTCTTCTATCTTAGTAGTGTTGATATATTTATCTTCTAGCTCACTAGTTCTCGCTTCTACCTCTTCAATTCTATTCCTTTGCCCTTTCATTGAATTGTTCATCTCTGATATTCTATTATTAATCGTTTGGACCTCTTTATGTAGGTTTTGAATTATTTCCAATGCTGTATCTATCTTATTTGATTGTTCCTGTAGTGCTTTCCTGACTTCTTCCTTATTTTTCTCAACTCCAATGTATAGTGTTTTGATACATTTTATAATCATTTTTCTGAATTGCTTCTTGTTGTTGTTGTTGTTGTTAAGTGCCATCGAGTCGGGTCCGACCCATAGCGACCCTGTACAGGGTTTCCGAGGGTGTAAATCCTTACGGGAGTAGAAAGCCTCATCTTTCTCCCGCGGAGCGGCTGGTAGTTTTAGGCATTTCCAAATCATGCCTATCTTCCACTATGGAGTGTAGGTCTACTTCCAGCTCATTTGCCTCAGTCACTTTATTTCTTTTCTGGACATGTGCTGGCTGGTATGGTCATCTCTCTGTTTTTTGAGCATTTTCAGGAGTTAGCTGTGGCCTTAATACTTAGATTGGTGCGTAATTTGGTGTTTTTTATGCTTTCTGATTGCCTCCAGGTAGATGCGATCAGGAGATGGCCTTCCCTTTTCACTCTTCTTGAGAAATTTCAAGATGCCTATTTCCTTTTTAGTCTGCCTGTCCCACTCCACAATCCCTATTCAGGTCTATTTCTTAATGATCAACAGTTCAGGGCTGGCTGTGGCTGTTTTCCACTGCTGTTTGGTTTTAAGTGGAAACTGTCACTTTAAATTTTGAGATCTGTGTGCATGCGTTGTAGAACCCTCCAGGGGTGAGGGTGGGGTGTCCACTGTCTCAGACATCCCTTCTAGTCACCAGAATGAAGGTGATCAGCCATCGAGAGACCAATGAACAGATACAAAAAACAAAACAAAACAAAAAAGTCCACACCTTTATCTCCACAGTTCTGTCAGACATCTGTGGCTGCTCGACTTCCCCTGTTTGGTCTTGCCCAAGATTGCAGCCAGGAGCAGCTGAATGTCTTGAATTAGAAAACAATGGATTTCTTGCTCCTGCTACAAATTCCCCAAGCTGTAAGCCTTCCAACCTTCTAATTATTCCTTTCTATGTGTTTCAGAGTTCTGGCACCATCCCCTGAGCTTGCGTGGTCTGGTATTCTGTGTTGTTGCTGACGGAACTCCTCACTGCACTCCTACCCAATCCACCATCTTGTTTGTTCTAAAATCCATAGAGTTTTCCATGACTCATTTTTCATAAGTAGATTATCTGGTCTTTCTTCTGAGGTACCTCTGGATAGACTCAAACCTCCAACCTTTCTGTCAGTGTGTTGAGCATTTCTGTCAGTTTCTGTCAGTGCATTGAGAATTTGCATTTTGCACCAAACTGGGATTCCAACATAAGAGTGAGTCCTTGATACTGTTGTTGGCTGCCACCCAGTTGACTCCAATTCATGATGACTTCTTATATCTCACATAACCAAATGCTGCCTGGTCCATCATTGTGATTACTTTGTCAATCCACCTCATCGAAGGTTTCCTACCTTTTCACCGACCCTCTATTTTACCAAACCTGATGTCTGTTTCTAGTGATTGGTCTTTCCTGATGCCCTTGATACACAACCAGAACCAAACTAGCTGCTGATGAGCAGATTCCAATGAATAGCAACCCTACGGGTAGTAACTACTGTTATTATTATTATTAGGCTGTAATGGTCGTCAGTCATGTTTTCCTTCAATATTTATTTGATGCCAACCATTTGCCAGTTTCAATATGACACTGGAGATTCAATGATGTGCAAAACACAAACAGTTCTCTCTTTAACTTTCCAGTCAAGTGGTGAAGGCAGGAGAATTACCCTACAAAGAAATATACAGCTATAAATTTTGGTAAGTACTTTAGAAGAAGTTACACAGGTATGAAGGAGTACATAAAGTAGAATTGATCTGATTTTTCAGTTACAAAAGATTGTTGAGCTGCAATTTGAAAAATAAAGAGCAGTCAAGGAGAAAGGAGCCTTGGGGGTACCATCCGTTAAGCACTGGGTTGCTAATCGAAGGGTCCGAGGTTGGAATTCACCAGGTTGGAACTATGTAGGAGAAAGATGAGGCAATCTGCTTCTGTAAAGATGTACAGCTTCAGAAACCCTGAAACAGTTGTGCGTCTTACAGCTTAGCTGTAAGAGTAGCAATCAACTCAAGGGTATTAATTATACTAAGGAAGCAAAGTGCATCTAACATTCCGCAAGTTCAAAGACCCTCGTGGTAATGATGACAGGTAATGATGACAGGTCAGCGTGGCTGAAGTCAATAAAGTCATGGGTAGAGTGGTAAGCATGAGTCGTCTGCAGGGTCCAAGTCATTCTGCTGGAATTTTAGACCTTTATCATGTGGCCAGTGAAAAGCCATGGAATAATTTAGGGCAGTTGGTGTGACAAGACCAGATTAGTATTTCTGCAAAAGCATTGTCAGCTAAGAGTGCAGTGGGTAATGATAAAAAGGAGACTATAGGGCTACAGTATCCAGGTGGACGATGTTGGAAGTTTGGAAGAGAGTGGTGGTGGCATTAGACCCAAAGACGGGATGAATTTGGAATGCATTTTGGAAGTAGGACCTACAGGACCTGGTGATTCACTTACTTAGCATTTAGCACAGTAACAGTACAAGGTAAACTGCTGTCTTCATTAAGATCAACCAATGACTTGAGAAATTTCCCCTCGTTTCTTGGCAAAGATCCAAAGGCCCCAGCAAAATCCCAAGGTCCCCAGTTGGAGTAGGGGGCCTCATGACTTTATCTCCCAGGTGGGCAGTAGTTTGGAACCCACACCGTTTCCTGGGCAACGCCATTGTAGGGCGCTCTGGGCGGGGGAGGGGTAACTAAGGGCAACTGCCGGAAGAGAACTCCGGAAGAGAGGGAGAGTCAGAGGGTAAAATAGGCAACACGTGCTGTGGCCCTGGCTATAGCGGGTGATTCGAGTGCCCTGCACGAGGCGATAACCGAGGACGGGTGGGGCAGAAAAGCACGCCTGTGATTGGCGGGCTGGGGATACCGGGGCAATTGTGATTGGGTGCGGCCAAGACCAAGGACAGCATTTTGAACCGCCTAGGGTTCTGGGTAGCAAAAGCCTTGGAAGGGTCTTAACTGAAAGGGGGAGGGGGAAAGTCGCCAACAAACGGCTGAGCTCACAATCTGGGCAGGGACCAGGTCGGGCGTCCCCCCCTCCCCCCCATGGAGAGAGCTAGACAGGAGCCACCGCCTCAGCCGCAACAACTGCCGAAGGTTACCCCACCTCGCCCCTTGCGCCCAGCTCCGTCCCCGCTGCCTGTTGAGGGTACCTCCTTTCGAGCAGCGGCCGTCGAGACCCCTCCGTCGCCGCCCACCTCGTGCGCGGCCGCCATTGCGACCATGGCCTCATCGTGTGGGGAGGCCCCGGCGTCGGGCACACAGCCCGTGGCGCTGCGTCTGCTGCAGGTGAAACCAGAGCAGGTGCTGCTGCTGCCACCGCCAGGGCCCCCACTGCCCCAGGCTCGGGAGGAAGTTGCCACCGCTTCTCCCGCGCAGGCCCGATTGCTGCAGTTGAGGCCGGAGCTGCTGCTGCTGCCGCCGCCACCGCCCTCATCTGAAGGCGCCCCCTGCAGGCTCGAAGCGCACCGGGCACAGCCCAGATCTCTGCAAGTCAAGGCCGAGAAGCAGGAGCCCCCGCCCGCCTTGGAACCGTCGGCGGGGCCTCAGAGACCCGTGGAGACGGGATCCAGGCCTTCCAGAGTGGCTAACGTGGAAGGCTCGGGGCCGGCCGCCGACAGTCACGGAGGGGAAGAAAAGAAAGGCAAGTCGGAGGTGGAGGAGGCCATAAGAGACCCAGGGAAAGGAGGCGAAGGTAAAAGCCTGGCGACCATCAGAGAAGGAGTCATCAAAACCGAGGAACCCGAGAGACTCCGCGAGGACTGCAGGCTTGGTGTGGAGCCCGAGTCCAATGACTTGGTCCATGGCAGCAAGGAGATCATTCTGGCCCAGCCAACCAGCACCTTTGGGCCGCATCAGCAAGACATCCGGATCCCCTTAACCCTCCACACCGTCCTCCCTGGGGCCCGGATCCAATTTCAGGGACCTCCACCTTCAGAGCTGATCCGATTGACCAAGGTCCCCTTGACACCAGTGCCTATTAAAATGCAGTCCTTATTGGAGCCTTCTGTAAAAATTGAAACCAAAGATGTCCCGCTCACCGTGCTTCCCTCAGATGCAGGTATTAGACGGCAGGGGAATCTGGTTTTCCAAACGCCGTCTATGTTGCCCCATAGCTGACCTGTCCGCAGTTCAGAAGCCTAAACTAGAAAAATAAAATCATGGAACTGATTCTTTTCAGGGCAAAGGCTGCGCAGGTATCACTTCTAATTGACTTGTACATCAAATACAGTAATCAGGTCACGATTCCCAAACATTAGAGAAATGTATTTTGGGGTCCAGTAAATGTACAAGATTGAGATGTTTATATAAAAAAGTAGGAATATTTTGTTGTGGAACACACTACCCTAGGTTTCTGTACTACAAATAATCCACATTAAAGATACTGTCTTAGAGTAGTTTATAGGTGTTATCTTTTTTTAAATGAATAGTACATGATTGAATTTAACACTTTAACATTTATTCTTTTAAAAGCCAAAGACTTCGAAATAATTAAAAATGAAAATGCTATAGAATGAGCTTGGAAAATTAGTTCTTAACGAAATTACTGAAGAATCCTGATAAGGCACTGCAGGATAAGCACTAGACTGCTAACCACTAGGTCAGCGGTTCAAACCCGCCAGTTGCTCCTCTGAAACCCTACACAGGGTCATTATGAGTCAGAACCGACTCAAATGGTTACAGCAGTAACAACTAGAAATAGATTTTTATTTCCAGTATTTCCAAATATATTATCAGCCAATTATTATTTTTAGATTAGTTCAGACAACACAGTGCCAATAAATGTCTTGGAAAGTCATATTAATCTTTATTAACTTCTGTATTCATTATTTTTCTTCTTACTTTCTTTTATGATTCTTCCCATTGCCTTGCTTTTGTCTTTGGTAGTTAAATTTTGTAATTTTTATTTTTTAAAGTAATGCTTTCTTTATAGTACTTATTTCATCGTTTGCATATTTGAAACCATTTACATATTGTGACATGCCATTGAGTCAATTCTGACCCGTAGTGGCCCTGTATAGGGTTTCTGAGGAGCGTCTGGTAAGCTTGAACCACTGGCTTTGTGGTTCAGATGGCTTTGAAGTCTGGCGCATTAACACAGTGCCACATCATGACTTCGTATTAAGTAACTCTAGAATGAGAAAGCCAAGTGGTATTAACTGAGTAGTTAAAGCACTGGGCTGCTAGCTGAAGGGTCACAGTTCAAACCCACCAGCTACTCTATGGGAGAAAATGTGGCAGTATTCTTCCCTAAAGATTTATAGCCTTGGAATCCCTAGGGGACAGTTCTTCTCTGCCCTGCAAGGTTCCTTTGAGTCAGAGCTGATTAGACAGCAATGGGAAATATAAAATAAACTATGTTGTAATTGTTAAGTGCTGCCAAGTTGGTTCTGACCCATAGTGACCGTGTATAGGGTTTCCAAGGAGCGTTTGGTGAACTTGAACCACTGATCTTGTGGTTCAAATGACTTTGCAGTCCAGTGCATTAGCCACACCAGGACTCCAAAATAAATTATGTTGTTGCTGTTGCTGTGAAGTGCCGTCGAATAGTTGATAATTATTTTTTATTAACTACATAAAAGGTAAGCATTTAGCCGACTTCCTTATTGTAAATTCAATTGATCTATGATTATAAGCAATGATTGTAAACATTACTTTTGTCTTACTTTTCTCCCAGCAAATGGGACTAGTGATGATGACCACCATGACAGGAGCTTCATCCTCATAGTGAAATACCTACAACCAAGATAGTACATTGGAGTCCTGGTGTGACGTTTTAGTATAAGCACTGGACTGCAAGGTTGGTTTGAACCACAAGGTCAGGGGTTCAAACTCACCGGTTGCTATGAGTCAGAACCAACTTGGTAGCACTTAACAGCAGCAAGATGGAGTTGGTTCCGACTCATAGCTACCCTGTACAGGGTTTCCGAGGCTATAAATCTTTATGGGAGTAGAAAGCTTCATCTTTCTCCTGTGGAACACCTGGTAGTTTCAAGCTGCTGACCTTGTGGTTCACAGCCCAATTCGTAACCACTACACTACCAGAGCTCCTTTAACAGCAGCAAGATAGTCTATTATAATTATTTTTGCTTGAATGGACACCATCATGGCATGTAAATTAGTTCCGATGCTAATGGAGTCCTGGTGTTGTGTTGTTGGATAAGTATTGGACTGCTATCAGCTGCTTCTTGGAAACCCTATACAGGGTCTCTATGAATCACAACTGACTTGACAGCACTTAACAAAAACCACCATCTAATGCTAAGGCACCCTAGTGACTCAGTTGTTAAGCTCTTGGCTACTAACCTAAGGGGTTGGCAGTTTAAACTACCAGTTTTGCAATGGGAGAAAAATGAGGCTGTCTGCTTCAGTAAAGATTGCAGCCTGGGAAACCCTATGTGGCAGTTCGAGTCTGTTCTGCAGGGTTGCTATGAGTGGGAATTGATTCAATGGTAATGGGTTTGGTTTGGTTTGTTTTACTTAATGACAGAATTATGTTGTTGTTGTTAAGTGCTGTCGAGTTGGTTCTGACAGCAAACCTATAGGTTTCACAGGAGCAATTGGTGGGTTTGAACTGCTGACCTTGCAGTTAGCAGTTCAATGTAAGGATTAAAGTTCCTGCCCCCTAGTGATTGTTGTTGTTGTTGTTAAGTGCCATCGAGTCCATTCCAACCCATAGAGACCCTGTAGAGGGTTTCCAAGGAGCAGCTGGTGAGTTTGAACCACTGACCTTGCAGTTTAAATGACTTTGCAGTCTGACTCATTACCCCACAGCTCCACACCTGGACTCCTAGTGATAGAATGTTGTAAATGGGAAATGTATGAAATGTTACTTTCAGGTATATTAATAAGACTCAAAAAGCAATCAGACAGCAGTTTACTGTGTCTACAACTAGCATATTACTCCCTTTGAGGAAAAGAAGAATCATTCTAGCTACAGTTTAGAATGTTAGGTTCAGGGGTTATGAGGAATTCTGGAATATTGGCAGTTCTCTGGCTATATTGGAGTGTATGTTTCCTCCAGATACCTTAAAAACATATAGAGAGATAGAGGTGCACTTCACTGTAAGACTGTATGTGTGTGGCACATTAATTTAGTCTTTTAATTTTTGTCATGTAGGAATACCAGACACTCCCTTCAGTAAGGACAGAAATGGTCATGTGAAGCGACCCATGAATGCATTTATGGTTTGGGCAAGAATCCACCGGCCAGCACTAGCCAAAGCTAACCCAGCAGCCAACAATGCAGAAATCAGTGTCCAGCTTGGGTTAGAGTGGAACAAACTTAGTGAAGAACAAAAGAAACCCTATTACGATGAAGCACAAAAGATTAAAGAAAAGCACAGAGAGGAATTTCCTGGTAATCATACAAAATGAACAAAGCCTTTTTCTAATTTATTTTATCTTAATTTATTTAGATAAAGATTAGATTAGGTTTAAATTAAAAAGAAGGCAAAATGTATTATTTTTTTTTCTACTCTGATATGTATAATAGATTGGTAGCTAATACTGTAGAAATTATTGGATCCTTACTAGGTTTAAGTTTTCTTAAAATCAAGCAGCCATCTATCTGGTCTCATATTTAACAACTAATACAAACCAGTGAACATACAGTATTGCTGTGATTTTAATTAAATATATATAGATATCAACTTGATTAAGCTAAAGCTTCAGAGTTCTTGCTCACCTCCACTTTCTGAGTTATTCTTTGCTTTTAGAGAATCATGGGAACACATCAGGGTCTTTGAAAGTTTTATTTGAATGGCTGAAATTTATTACTAGGCCCAAATTTTGCAAGCATACTATAAAATAAGATGTTAAAATCATAGCAATAGAAGAATATGTAATGGATATTTAATGAGAATGCAAGAATTGATATTCGAGTCCATTTTAATATTACATGGTTATCACAGCATATTACTGCCTTCTGATTGGTATATGTATCACCATCATGATATCGTCTTGAAGAAGTTTGGTCCCACAAGTGAGGACATTGAGATTAAGTTTGGGTAAATGCACAGTGTATGGCCAACATATTTTCCCCTGAAATGTGAACAAAGACAGTGTAGGGGTTAGACTGGAGACAGTGACTACAGAGAACCAGTGATTCTTCTGGTTTTACAGTGGCTACAACTGCCATAATCCTATTATTTAGACCTTGGAAGAAAATTAGGTTATTTAGACCTTGGAAGAAAATTAGTCAACTTGTAGACTTGGAAACTGGCAACTATAAAAAAAAAAAATGGATTCTAAAGTCAGACATAGAGTCCTGGTGTGGTGCTGTGGGTTAATGTGCCAGACTGCAAAGTCGTTTGAATTGCAAAGTCGGTTCAAGCTCACCAGTCACTCCTCGGAAACCCTATACAGGGTCACTATGGGTCAGAACCAACTCGAAGGCACTTAACAACAACAACAAAGTCAGACATAAAAATAATAGTGACTGGTCATTGTTGTTGTTAAGTGCCGTTGAGTCGATTCCAACCAATAGTGACTGGTCATTAGTGACCATTATATTGTAAGGTATAGACAGTTGTATCTTGTTGTTGTCGTTAAGTACCGTGGAGTTGATTCTGACTCATGGTGACCCTGTACAGGGTTTCGAGGCTGTAAATCTTTACGGGAGCAGAAAGCTTCATCTTTCTCCGTGGAACAGCTGGTAGTTTCGAACTGCCGACCTTGAGGTTAGCAGCCCGATTCATAACCACTACACTACCAGAGCTCCTTGTTGTATCTTATGGAAAGTGAGGAAATGCGATGACTAATGTCTGATGGGGGCATTGCTTTAAAAGTAGAGATGAGGCTTTTGGATTCAAGTTTTAATATTGATTTTACTACAGATTTAATATGTATCTTTGAATACAAGAAATTTGATCTAGTTTTTCTTTCAAATGAAGGATTACAAAATTGGCCACTAGTTAGAAGCTATATGGATTTGTATGTTAAAGTCATTCACAGAAATAGTATGATATCATTGGAAAATATACTATCAACAAAATCTTATTTTTTAAAAAAGGGCTTTGAAGTGCTTTGGATTTTACTGTGCAAAATTTGTTTAAAGGGGTCTACTACACATTTTAATTAAAAAGTTTATCTTCTTCTATAGGTTGGGTTTATCAGCCTCGTCCAGGGAAGCGAAAACGCTTCCCTCTAAGTGTTTCCAATGTATTTTCTGGTACTACACAGAATATCATCTCTACAAATCCTACAACAATTTATCCTTATCGCTCACCTACCTACTCTGTGGTTATTCCCAGCCTACAGAACACCATCACTCATCCAGTTGGTGAGTTGGTTTTATTGTAGATTACTGTTTTTTAATAGCTCTGTGAAAAAATTTGCTTGTTAAGTTGAAATTTTGCTTCTGGTAGACATAAGAAATTAAAACAGTAATGTTAAAAAAAATTCAAGAATAGAAAAAGTGTGAAAAATTAATCAGAGGAGGAAAAATCTCAGCAGACACTGTTGGTTTTCAAGAATAGGAAGTATTCCATCTATAAAGCCTCAGACCTTTTAAGCAAACCAGGATGAGCCCATAGATTAGGCAGATAATGCAGGAAATGACTGAGGTAATTCAATAGAAAATGGGAGTGTCTTCTTAAGATCAGTATAAAAGCAGCCCTTGCTAATGTGGTCATCAAGCATCTTGTCCTGGAATTTAGTAACAGTGACTCATCTGTTAAGACCATTCTCTTGGCACTCTAGAAAAACAATGAAACAATCTATTTTCTGCCAAATATTTGTTTGGTTCATTATATTGTTGTTGTTGTTAAGTGCCTTTCCAGTTGATTCTGACCATAGCGACCTTGTATAGGGTTTCCAAGGAGCAACTGGTGAGCTTGAACCACCAACCTTGCAGTTCAAATGACTTTGCAGTCTGATGCATTAGCCCACAGTGCCACACCAGGACTCCAGTTCATTATATTATATTTCCCTGAATCGCTTCTTTGTTATTAATTCTTTACAACATTCCTGTCTGTTGCTTTTATGAGCTCCAAATTGAGAACCTAATATCTGAATACTGTGTTATATAGTGCTCTCCATCATTGGTTTGATCTTCTTGAACCTATTTGAACAATCCCTTAAAAACAAAAACAAATAGTTTGTTATTGAGTCACTTCCAACTCATGGTGATCTCATGTGTTGCAGACTAGAACTGTTCTGAAGAGTTTTTTGGCTGGAATCTTTACAGAAGCAGATTGTCAGGCCTTTTCCCTCTGTGGGTTCAAACTACCAACTTGGAGGGTACTGGTGGTGGTGGTTATGTGGTTATGAGTTCTGACTCATAGCAGTCCTGTATAGAGTTTCCAAGGCTGAAAATCATT